TATTTACCTCGAATGTAGAGCAAAGCTTCGTCGTTGCAGCCGTTGCTCGCTATTCGAGACATTTAGTAGATCCTTCTGATATCTCCGGTACCCGCGATAACGGTACCCGATAACGATATGATGCGTACGCAAAGACGGCGTCGAAGTATCGGATATCGTTATCGGAGTCATCGGACCGATCTACTAAAATTTCCATTGTCTAAATCGCGAAGCTGATGAAATCATTAATAGCAAAACATAGTTGTAACAGTAAGGTGATAATTAAATAATAAATAAGGTTTGGCTTGATATTCTTCTTCCTTTCGTTCTGAACAGTTCGAGCCTCACTTGAGACGTTGGTGTATAAAAAAGTTTGCAGTATACAAATATAAGTAATAAAAGAAAACGGACACTCATAATAACAATTAATTAGAACGTCGGTTAAAACAAGGAAATGTAAATGTGCGTTTGCCGTGTGTACCTTTCTTGGTGCCGTTCAAAAACGCACGGAGCACGAACCGACTGTAGTTTACTCCGGTGTTCTCCAGATAGACGTCCGCTGATGCCACGGGCAGCAAGCGGTAGAGTGCTAAGTAAGCCGTGCTATGACCCCACTCACGAATTTCACTCTCTCTTCAAGCCCAGAATATCAAGTCCACGTCAGCCACCATTACGTTTTATTTGTAAAAATATCTGCTTCAGATAAGAGGCGTTCTGCTGTGGCAAAGCATTAAGAAGAAGAAAGGAAGACTTACCATTTTCTAAGTGCTCGCAAAAAGCTGACTCACAAAAAGGGTAGGGTAGACGGAGCGTCGTCTCGTGTTGTGACATTATGAAAATGGTTGTTAATTCTTTTCAGTGCACTTACTGCCTCGAGCTTCTCGAAGAGGCGCACAATCACTTTGTGTCCTCCTCTCCCAATCTTCGACCGCAAAGCAAAAAAAAAAAGGAACTAAAAAAGGAACTAAAAAAAGCGGATATAACATGCCCCCCCCCCCCCCTTTTTTTTTTGTAGAAATGTTCATTTGGATATTTTTACATTTGTTGTTAGGGTTCAGAGGCTTGGTGTTGCAGAGGCTTGGTGTTGCAAAAAAAGGCTTTGCTAAACAGAAGAGTGCCAAGCCTCCCTTTGCGCTGGTCAATTCGCTTGACATTGTCACTGCGCTCGACTTTACAAAAATTTAAAAAAAAAAGAAAAACTATTTAGAATGGGGAGGGGGGGAGGGGGGTCCTGACAAAAGAATGTAACTGATTACAAGGAATCCGTTACGTCAAAAATGTAAAGGAATAACTTTAAAATTACTCTAGGAAATATGTAATTATTCCGTTACTAAATTACTGATAAATGTAAGGGATTACAAGTAATTTCGTTACTTGTAACGGATTACGTACAAGTCTGTGTGTGTGTGTGTGTGGGGGGGGGGGGGGGGGGAGCTTTCTGGTAGCGTGCCAGGGGCCGTACCATCTGACCTCGTGGGCCGGATCCGGCCCGCGGGCTGCCGGTTGCCGACCCCTGCCTAATACCGTGTTTTTTTTTTTAAAAGCTTATATGCGTTGCCAAGGGGTAATCAGGCGTGCATCGGTTGTTTTCGGAAATGACAAGGAATATTGGATAAAGTCAAGTGGCCGTAGAGTAGTTGTTTGACTCTCACTGACGAACTATTCAACAATCAATTCATAAAACACTTATTTGTATCGGTCTTATAGCCGCCATTGTTTCACTCAGAGACATGACCAAATGCCTTCTTAAAGGGCGATATCGCGTTTTCACATAACGATAGGCCATTGTTTTCAGTAGAGTTTAGTGAGCACTTATTTTTGGACTCAGAAGTGTTGTTTAGTACTAGTAAAGCTAAGGACGTCAGCGTGTGGTCCTTGAAAGAGCTCATTTTCATCGAAACAAAATTCGGGGAATACACCCTGAGGTTGGGCGTTGTACTTTCCTCGGAAAGCACAAAAGAAATACTTTAATTAAACCGCACACACCTAGAGAATATACATCAAGTAAAGTATGTTTTCGAAACCTACTTGGGGTAGTATTATAAGTAAAATGTAGTTAAAATACTTCCCAACACTGTAATCTAGTAACTCTTCCTTGAAACCAAGGATGCACTTCTGCTGGTTTGGCAACTTAATAAACTTTGCCTGCATTTTATTTTTTTACAGAAATGTATTTCTGTTTGAGAGCACTGATGGCAAACATTGTTGGAAAACGCCTTTGTCTGTTTTCTTGGCTATATCGTTGCTCGATGAGAGCTCGGACAATCATGCATAGGTGGGATATCGTGGGAAGTTTACTTAATGCGCGACACGGCTAGCTTACCAAGTTTGACGAAGGAAAGTCTGGATGATAACGGAGCAGACACGACTCTGATGTAGTTCTTTCCGCGCGGTCTGTTGAAGTTCAATTGATGCACAGTTCAGTGTTGGTTTATTTAGTGCCTGTTGTGGGTGATTTCTTGTAAAAAGGATATAAATAGACTAACGGATACATATACAGCAATGAGCACCATGTCCACGGAGATTACGAGCGCATACCAGACACCAGTTTTTATACAAAACCAAAAACCCGCTTGAATGTCAATGTTAACTCGCTGTATGAGACGATAGTGTAGGCGAGGTACTCCTGAAAAAACATGGCCGCCATAATCTAACCAAGAAGGTCGTGCATGCGTGTGCGTCAACGCGCGTCGTGCTTGCATGTCGTGCTAGCGTCAATGCGCGTCAATGCACGTCAATGCGCGTCAATGCGCGTCAATGCGCGTCGTGCTTTCGCGATTGAAAGGCTTTTTAGTGTTATCACGCGTTGTTCGTACGCTCGCTGAAACTTGGCATTCTCCAACCGCGAGTGACTAGAACCGTTTGGTAGGCTCACTAAAGCTCTCTGCTCTTGGTGACAGGCGTGACCCTAGCATGCTGCGTTCCTCTGTGGGGGATTGGATGGAAGCAGATCGCTCTCTGTTAGGTAACACGTCAAGGAGGTAGTGGCGACTGGTGATCCTGACTGAACGCTATACATGACTTCCGGGTTACGTCGTCCACCATGGTCATTCCTACTCGTTCTTGCCCAAAACTAAATTTGAGTCTGCAGCAGTTATTCGTGTTCAGTGGCAAGGCCCACAATGTCCGCCGACGTGATGTCAATGTCAACCAGGTATAATACATCTTCACTGATAAAGCCGTAATTAGTATCACATAATGCACCGTAAAAAAAGAAAAACAAAACATGATACAAACCTTTTAATAGTCACAGGCATGAACACGCAAAGCGCGCGAGAGCTCTTTACGTCCGCTTGCCTCCAGTCTCTAGAAACGGCAGTCTAGCATTGATAACTGAACACTGGATATTTAAGTTTAAGTTACTTATTCGTGGAATGTATTTCCCAAAACTCACGGCCCTTTTCGGGAACCAAGTTAGGTCGTAAACATGAAATGCTTTCGTGATTGACGTCGGACGCCTTAACGACGAGCGAGAGACGTGCTCACATGGGACTCCAAAGCGTAGCCCTGACAAAAGGTCACGACGCAGCTGGACTATACTAAATGGTATTAACCAAGCAGCGTCAAAAACGCAAGTCACTTGATCTTTTCTGTTTATGCTTAATTCAGCGATGATAGAGCACGGACATAAACGCGACGAACACCATGATGGTGCCCTTTTGACGCTGTCTGATTTGTCCCACGAGCTCGTTGAATCTGCTGCGTCTGGACTTAGGTGAAACGAATTATGGAGACGCGAAATCAACTTTGCCGCTTGCCGACTCTATAGAAGTTGCCGTTATAAAAAGTGAACGACGCTTACAACTTCCTTCAATGTCGAATTAAAGCGCAGCTCTTGAGGAGAAGGAGGGGAGGGTACGGAGGGGACGGTATTCCTCTCCTCCTTCCTCCTCATCTACTTCTTCCCCGCTCCTCGTCTCTTCCCCCTTTTCTCTTTCTCCTCCCTCCTCCTGGTCCTCCCTCTTCCTCCTCTCTCTTTATCCTCCTCCTCCATCTTCCTCCCCCTCCTCCCTCCCGCGCGGTGCATTATGCAAAACGTCCCATAATGCTACGCGCGCGTCACCGCGGTGCATTGTGGCACGTTTCCCGTAATGCACCACGCGGTTACGCCGACGGCGATACTTCACGCCGACGCGTTACGGCTACGCCGACGGCGACGCGTCGCGAAAAGGCGTTACGTCGACGGCGACGCCGACGCCGCTCAGGCCGGAAACAGGCGCCTAAGAGCTGCGCTCTAAAACCGCTTTTAAATGTGTATGTTTTTTACGCCGAGGCTGAGGTCACCATAGTCGCTTACAAAAGGAGAACGTCAGGAGGCTCCTCCAGATGCCCCCCCTTGAGTTCAGCGCACGGTGTAAGATATATACTCTTTCGGTGTGGACATTGGCGCGAGAAACAATCAGACGCGACCGACTAGATAAAGTTAAAGTCTTCTCACGAGCGCATGCGCGCCCCGAACAGCCAGCGGCGAACTAGCGTCGCTCGGTGGCGAAACGACGCAACTGCGAAAAAAAAAAAACGTAAATGCAACATCTAGTTGCCATTGAATCTCTCGTGCAGCCGTCACACATCCTTGAGCAAGGGGCTCGTGCTCGACTGATACCATGGCAACGAGATATTTTATTTATGTTTTCTTTTTTTTTTTTTATATAGTTGCGTCGTTTCGCCAGCGAGCGAAGCTAGTTCGCCGAGGGCTGTTAGGCACGGGCCTGCACTCGTGAGAGGACACTATCTGGTCGCTCCGCGTCGGGCAGAAACCTCGCCTAAATAGTATATCTTACATCGTGGTTCAGCCTGAGCTTCTGACCTTTAATAAAGCTTGAACGTCTCGTGCACTTGGAGCGTGCGCACGCCGAGGACGGTAAACAACGCACCCTTGCTGGGTGGGGGCTGGGCGTCTCAAAGAGTCGCCCTGGCCGTCTTACCCTGTCAGTGAGTATGAAGTAAGAAAGCATGTCCCGTTTTAATAGAAACCACAAAGGCATGCTCCGAGACGCACGCGTTGTCCCGTTGTCTCCTACCTTGACGGTGGACTGGGAGGTGGGCGCCGGGTCATCGGTGCACCTCCAGGCGAGCGCGGCCAGAGGGTCGACTCCTCCGAGTCCCAGGGCCGGCACGGGCCCCAGGCTGTCCCCCGGCGAGAGCGGTTCCCCGGCCACCAGGCACACGCGCCGATCGCCCATGGGAGCCCGGGCTCGGACGCCGGACCTCGACGACGCCTGCAGGGCACGGGCCGAAAGGACACCTCTTCAGCACTGTATGACTAATCTATTCGGAACGGTAGTGACGTATTGGCAAAGATATCGGGTTGTCCTTGGCAAGGGTGCGAATTTATTCGGGTTGTTTCTTACAGAGCTGGGTATTTGCCCAGCACAACGCCTGTGGACCAATTTCTCTACGTCATCTTACTCAACTGAATGAGCGGGGACAATCATTGGTCGAAAGTTCTGCGCCCATGTTTGAATGAGACATGTGTTCAATTGGTGCTTCACTGGCCGAACCCGAACCTCAGTCGAACGCTGACGGAGTGTTCGGCTACGTCAGCTGAACGCTGTGTCAGAAACACGAGCAAATGATGCATGTTGTAGTCCCCGTGGGTTTAGTTTTAAGACGATATTAAAGCGATAGATTTACGGGAGACTCTTTGCGGAAATTTTGAGCCTGCGGGTCCTCGTCACCGCTATGGGAAAACCCCTTCTTCCCTCTTGGCGCGAGGAGAGGGAGGTCCGGTTTTCCAGTCGGCCGCGAAGCGCGGACACAGCAGAGAGGGGAGCTTCGGCGTCCCTCCCGCCAGTAACGACACGACGAAGAGAGAGTCTTTCTGTCGTCTGCTTCAAACACTTGTTTTCAAGCGTTCCTTGCATTCCACGAAATCCCACCTTGGCAGTATCCAGTTGCTCCGCGTGTTGTTGGATAGTTTTAGAAACTTGCACCGCGCTTACCCACTTACTTTACGGACCACCGAGTCCCCGTGGCGGTCGTCAGCGGCATCCACAACGCCAACCACGACGGCTATGATAACTTCCCACGTCGCACCTCCGTCCTCGAATACGGGACGGCACCATTCCACCCGCATTGCGCGACCGTGCTACAGCTTTAGTTTTCATTTTTAACTTTGCCACAAAGGGCGCGACTGTAGTATTTCCTCCTTGATAGGGGCGCAGTGGCGCCTATCCAAACGGCTGTAATATGGATGATCGACGTGAACAGCAGCACGAGGTTAGGTAACTGACACCTCAGCAATCATAATTTTACCAAATATGGGCGGTATTAGGGCCTTACGTTATTGTTTTGATATCAAGAATTAGGGTGTGCGGAAACATCTTCATTGTGAGGCCGATCGTCCACGAACTAGGGAGCGCAATGCGGCATCACCATCCCTGAAAGGTGCGAAAAGACCATTGCAGCAATCGCCTTCTAGTAGGCTTCCATCTTTGTCTGCTGTGCCGTAAGACGCGTTATGAGAATGCGCACTAACTCTCTTCTAAGGAATATCAAACGTCGCACATGAGTCTACAGTACAGTGGATTGGCATTATTTTTTTGCAGGATGATAAACGTTGGAAATACGTATACTCAGGGGCAGGATGCAGAAGCTCTGCCTCCAGCACGCACCCGTTGCATTTTGTCGGCATTTTACTGCGCGTGCGCCAAAGTCGTACCAGAAACAGAAAGCTCACGCTAGAAACAGAGTACCTACTCCGTTTCTAGCTCACCAACTATTAACGCCAAAATGTTCAGGTGGAGCCCTCTTATGGTTTCCGTTCATGATGTCACGACCACCATTTTCCTCGCCGTGACGTCATCAGTTGCTATCTTTGACTACATATCATCTGTTTCGAGCTACGAGTTCGATAGTATGTGTAAAGATAACAATGGAAACATGAAGTCATCGCACTCTTAAACCAACATCGTCAGAGGTGACACCCCAATCCCTGCATGCAACACTGCGCTCGTTGCATTATGGGATCCCTTCGGCCATCGATCTCTGTCACATCTCACATCACTCGCCTTAGGCCGCGTGCCGCTGCGGAACAAGCATTTAGGGAATTCTTTTAACTTTAGTTGTTTATTGATTTTTGACTGGCAGCGAATATGCACAATGGTCTCCGATATAATTGTTTAATCGATAAAATCGAATATCTTATCCAAGTTACCCGACGAAGAATGTAATTTGAAATTAAGCTGAGAAAGCATTTTATACTCAAGTCGAAAGCATACCTCTTTTCCCGAAATTTTGAATTAGACTCGACTTTGTTTCGTCGTTGACATACTTCAGAGTTTTCACCCGGGATAGTTCGAAAATTTAGACAGCAAATCAGGTCGCATAAAATCACATCTGTTGAATAATTTGTGCAGTTTGCGGTTATTTAAGGCAGATTACACTCCTATAAATATATAAGATGGTTCAGCTGGTCACATTTCGTGCGCCGCAAAAGAAGGGAAAAAATTCAATGGTTCTCCAAACAAAAAGCAAACAGAAAAAAAAAACAAAAATTGGCTGTCGTCAGAAAAGAGGGTCCCTCTTATGGAGTATGATGCGGGAAAGACGGTGGCGTGTAAAAATGGAAAGCTTTGCCCGTAAGGGAGAACCGTCGTTAAGGATAATCGGCTCGCCTTTTATCTCTTCACGGCTCTCTCTCTCTAAAAAAAAAAAACTGTAGAAAGTATATATGCTTTTTAGCATCCTCATCGACTATTCCGAAAGCGAGTTTTCTATTTTAAAGCCACGATAAGGGGAACAAAATCCTGTCGGTGCTATCTCGGCTATTTGAACCGCCTGCACTCTCCGCGTTTTAGACCTCATTTCTCGTCCCTCTTATCTGCCTTCAAAATCGCGCCGAATCGAGAAATCCAATAATTAATTTCGGGGAATGAGAATGGGGTCATTTTTTGACGTTTAGAAAAAAGACTGCCAAACAAAACAAAAAAGGGGAAAAAAAAAAAAGCTTCCACGCACCAAGCTGCGAAAGTAGATAAAATAAGATTTGTGTTGATCGCAAACGACAGTTTTCGGGGACCGCACGAGATCCTATTTTCGCAGCCCGAGAGGAGATACCGTTCTCCGCCGACGGAGGGTAGTAATTTTACGAAGAACGAAGAGCCCTATACAACGTCGAAATCGCGGTCTAAAATCGATCATTCTTGAAAGCTGTGCCCGTCACAGCGTAGGTATGTTAGGGAAGGCGGCAGTGCGTAGCACACCGCCATCTACAAAAAAAAAAAGAAAAAGAAAAAAAAAGGGGTTGCTTGGGGGAGCATGATAGCCCCACGGGGCCTTGAGATGGCGCTCCGGTCGCTTTTTTCTTTTTCTTCCAGCCCGTGCATCTAGCTGTCAAGGCAGCTCCTCTCTCTTTTGCTCCTGTCTTCGTGGTGCCGCCGGTGCCGCTACTTCCAACGGAGCTTTTTGTGTGCATGTGCATGGCCGTCTCCGCTTCCGACTTCGCAGTATAGAAGGGGGTCTTTCGCCAAAGGAAGGAGGCAACAAAGGACGGAGTGGGAAGGAACCTTTCGCGATGATTGGAAGAACCACCGAGCCCCATCCCACAATAGCAGACTTCCCGGTTTTTGTTCTCCCTTTGACGGGAGCCGACAAGTCGCTGCTCTTGTGGACTCGATGACCGTCAAGAGAGAGAGAGAGAGAGGGTGTGTGTGGAGCACGTCGGCAGATTGTGACACTCTGGCGCTTCGCTTAGTTTTAGTTGATGCGGCTTCTCCCAGGGGGAGACACTATTTTCCCCCTTTCGGGGTCTACGTGTTGGTTTTTTACAGGCCGAGAAGAGACGGTGCTTGCCGAAGGGACAAGGACGTCGTTGAGGGGAGCAATATCGCTAATCGCTTTCGGTCGGCTGGCTAAGAAGACGTCGTTAACGAGTGGCGGCGGTGGTATCGTCGACGGTGACGGGAAACCGTGCGTACGGTCGGCTGGTTACGGTTCACTCGGGGTCCACTTCTACGCAAGGCAGTTTGATGATGCGCCATTATGGGCGTGTTGTCGGCCACAAAAAGGGTAGGCTTGATAAGAAGACCGGAGACACGCTGCGATGGAAGAAGCATCGAAACGCCGCGAACGTTCTGGAGGTATATGACCGAACTAGGGACGCGGTTTGGTGGTAAACCACGTTTACAGCGGTGCTAGAGAAGTCGATCGTGGTTCGGTTGTTTACAGCGTGGATGTCAGACACGACGAAAGTTGAGCTTCCTTTTTATCTGAGATCTCTTGGGAGGGGGTTTGTATTATATTTTTGGTTTCGTATATTTCGTATATATATATTTGGTTTCGTTTCTTTCTACCAATCATTTTTCCGGAGGTCGTGTCAAGTACTGGATTGTAACATAGTGGTTTAAGAAACCCAGTCTGAGCAACAGCGAAAATAGGAAATAACTTTAAGCAAAAGAAATTTCATCTGAGGAATTGTAATCTGCCTAGCTGCAGAAAACATGGGAGATTGACCGGATCAAACACTTACGAAGGAAATACATGCACCCCCACTGCCTACATGTGAGGTCATTCGTTTATTTGAAATATTTTAGTAATAAAAAGAGAGAGAGAAATAAAAACACGATGAAACTATAAATAAGCGCAACTATCCATCCATATGTACAAAAGTGTCATCTGTTATAATGTATTTGTGGGAAGCGTTCCAAAGGCACTTAAAATTCGCCCAATAGATTTTTTTTACAACGATGCGGAATTTTCTTTGCAAGGAGTCCACAAGACACACACACACACGCACACATTTGATTTAAAAACTGTCTACAGAAGCGAATAATCTACACACAGCAGAAAACCGTTGCAAACAACAAAAAAGTACTTTCCTTTCTATGTTGAAATGGCGTCACAGCCGAGCTGCCCACTTTTATTCTCCTTCGGCAGCGCAAAGAGAATATATAATGCTAAAAAGAGGGCAGAATTGCATTTTTTTTTCTTCTTGCCTCGACAAAGTTTACCCTTTTCCATTTCGCCAGCGAAGCACTCCGCGCCTCTCTCGTCCGAATTCCCTCCAACGCAGGGGGCGCAAGTGTCGTCCCTTCTTTTCCGCGCCCTTTCCTCGGAGGAGCGCTCGTCTGCGAAGCGTCGCTGTCATGTTGCTTCCCGTCGCTCACTTGTTTGCTGCGCATCTCTGAACTCTTTCTCTATCACCCCCTTTCTTTTTCTTTCTTTCTTTCGCCGGTGGGCGAGC